ACTGCAGATCTAAGTTGAAACCAGCTCTACAAAATGGTACCTGCAGCTTGTCGAAAAACATCAAGATGAGAGTCAATAACAATCAAATAGTGGGCATATTTTTTGGGACACTCTGTATAAAGTCAGATTTCCTTCCCATTTCACAATATGAACTTGCACTCGAATTTCACCTTTGCTCAAAATTTTCGCGTTACCGCTGCCTACCCTATCATTTCTCATACATGCGCCTAACACCGATGGAAAGGATCTTAACCTAACATAATCAATCCCACCACCAAATAACAACCTTGACGACAAAGCAGAACCGTCCCCACCATTCCTCTAACCCCAAATTGTTTACTGTTCTTATGGTCATGGAATAGTCACCGCAAACTCACGTGCAAAGCGATGAATCTTGACTCAACGTACAAGTCACTTGCACAGGCGAGTTAGCATTTTTTCGTTCACGTAAAAGTCGGACTATTTTTACTGGAAAGTCGTCGAAGTCCGCATTGAGGTTCCAGGATTTTGCAAGAATCTAAAAGGAAGTTTCAGTAAAGCATAACAAAACGCCAAGCCAACCTGATATTTTGATCGAGTTATACTCTCTGCATAGAGGAATTCGAACTCATCTGGCCGGCTTATCTCTAGTCGATATTCCTAGAACATAATCTAGAAACGATGCCAGAAACTGCGAATAACGAGTTTGCTGTGATATGAACACGCCCATGTTCACCCACTGATGTAATATGATGAGCAGAAATCAAGCAAATTTATATAGTTGCTGAAAAGTGAACTGTAACAAGTGCTGCTCACTTTTTCAGTACTGTCATATCTCCTCTCCACGAGTTTCAAAACAACATCAACCAAGGACGATCTGCAATATACATAAAAGTGAAGAAAAGTAAGCAGACTTTATACATACAAGTATTCGGGTCCACTTCTGCTGGGCTGAAGCAAAGTCACAGGTACTGTGCCGATGAACAGCTGATTTGGTCCTTCTGAAGACGTCGCCATAGCCTGGACCAAGTTTTTATCTCTCAGTCACGACAGAGGAACTTAAGATAGTGAAGGAAGAAACAGTAGCAGTGAAGAGAATACGTCGGTCAAGGGTTTATTAAAATCGGATTAAGAAACGTGACAATTTACAATTTACGATCGTCTATCAGGTTGCTGCATAAGTTCTGTCCGTTT